TGTATAGAAAGTATTTTCGTCATCTCATGTGTGCTTTGTGGCATTTTTAAAAAGAAAAATGCCATTGTGGCATTTCTAAAAAGCTTTTTAGAAATTATGACATTTCTCATAATTTTCTCTCATATTTATCCTCGAAATTGATCCTCTTTTATTGATCCTTCGTTATCATATTATTGATTCCTGATTTGGGTTTTTGTTGCAGGACTCATTCTCTTAAGATTTTTACGAATGAGGAACTCACATATATGGCTATTAAGGAAGCCTTTCCGGTACAAAGCCTAATCCTTTTCATTATTCTTCTACTGTCTTCTGGAATGTAGTAAGAATTGGGAATTTATGAGGTTGGTTCATATTTCATTATAGGAAGATAACCCTTCTCAAAATGAGCAATCTTTTACCGCTTCTCATCAGTAAGTATCTTTCTGAAACTTTTGTTCTTTAGAACTTGTGTGAAGCCGTAGTAAAAATGAGTTGGGATGTAGCTTTCTATTAGTGTGCTTCCATGGTGGTCAAGTTTTTGTTCACAGTCTCTATTGGTTCCTATTTAGCCTTTGATGCTCCCAATATATTTCTTGTGTCAGCATTATGAGTTTTGAGAGGCAAAGTAAGGTTCAACTTTGACAATTGTTAGAACGAATGACAAACGGTTTATCTTCTCTGCATTCTGCAATGAAATCCACCAGCTGGGGGAGGAAGCAAGACGACGAAAAGGAAGATGACAGTAAAGAACATTGAAGTGAGTTTATGTAACAAGGTTGGTGTGGCTGCTGATTAGCTTAGTAGAAACATATTATAATGCTGCGGTCTTCTTTTCTTACTTTGTGGAGCATTTTTTATATATATACTTAGTTTCTTGTCCATTCCTAAATTGAATTTAAGACCATTTCCAATGTATTTCTCTATATTTGATTTTAAAATAGAGTGAAAAATAGCATTATTCTATTTTCACTCTAATGTATTTTTATTAAGAGCATCTCCCCCATTGTTATTTTCACCTCTAAATTCTATTTTAGAAAAAATTCTTCTCCAACCCAATACGAGACATGAAGCTGAGTCATCCAGAAGATGTTCAGAACAGAGCTGCTTACCCGAGCCATATTTTTCTCTCTCTTTATCGAAAAGAAAAGACAATCAGTTGAACCACATGAAAAAACGTTCTACAACATTTTATAAGTGTAAACATAAATTCTTCCTTAGGATACTCAGGTAGGATACTCTGGTGGAGTTTAGTTTATTCAGCATCTGAAATTCCTTAAAACCAAAAAAAATTACACCTATGGAAGTCTTTGAATCACGTGAAATCAGTGAGTACTAATATTTGAAAAGGATTACATTTGATCTTTTTAATATTTTTTTTTGCCAGATTGCCAATGTCAATCAATATATATACTCATCTTTTCTCTATCTCATGGCAACAACACAACAATTTTTTTTAGCGTTTTACCACAAAGATAATGATATTATTGATCTTATTGCT